GTTATTTCAAAAACATTGAATACACGTAAAAGCTAGAAGAAAAAAAAATTATTACATGGTTTTTTGGATGTCCATTTTAGTCGAACCCCTGCACAAGGATCAACTAAAAATAGTAGAATTAAAACTCTAGTTGAAAAAAAGTTTAAAACAAAGTCGGTATCAAGTCCTAATCCAAGGGCAATTTCAACGCATTTTCAATGGTACACAACAAATTCATTGCATTATGATATGCATGACTGAAGAATGAAGATGAACCAAATAATGAACTATATATACATTCCAAAGGAATATACACTTTACAGCACAACTTTTTCCTCATCATGCATTTGAACACACAACACACAATTATTCATTTCAAGAATTATTATGTAAATTATTGGTATAATTATTGATGATAAATTATTGGTATTCCTCAGATAGTATTTATTTATAGGTCATCCAAATGGTTAGGTCAGGACAGTTTTCCATGTCTTGATGCCAAAAGAAAAGAGAGAGACAGAAAAGAGCGAGAGACAAAACAGGGAAATTGGTAAGATAAGGATGAAAGAGATTATTTTGAGCCCGAAAAATTGTACTAAACAACAAAATATGACTTGACATCACCACTAATTAAAGCAATGCCGCCCCCCTTCAAAAATCCAAAATTGAGGATTTAATAGTATGCGGAGATTTAGGGTATTGGATACAAAGAAAGAATTTTTATTTTTGTTACACCTATTTTTATTCGGTATTACATTATTCAATAATTAAAAAAGTTAAACTTGACCACTTGAGTGATAAAGGAAAATCAAATAAACACACCATAAAATAAGATGGCAAGAACATTAATGGCTATATCTCAAACTTTCATGCTTTTGGTATTATGAATTGTTTTGTTTACACACTTTTCCCTATAGCAGGTATGTTTTATTTATCACTTTTATACTACTTAATAGAAATGTTAAACGGGCGGATAGCCCTAGCGAGCTTCGGGTTAAACGATTCGAGCCTAAAAAGTCTGGATTTAAACGGACTACCAATAAAAGGACCTAACCCTAAACCTAGCGGGCTTCGGCCTAAACGGGCTATACGGGCTATAATAATAATAATAATAAAAAAAGATTACAACACCTAGTTAACGGTTTTTTTCAACGGCTATTTAGTATTTACCACTATATATATACAACTACACTTCATATATGAACTCACATTACAAACTCTTAAATAACATATTGTTTCTCAATAGAAAAAAAAAATGTTCGAACTATTACTTACAACTAGGACTGAGCATGGGTCTCGGAGAATTCCGAACAGTTCCGAAAACCGAACCGAAATCACTCTGAACCGAAAAATATCCGTTGACCGTTTGACTTTCTTCGAACCGAACCGAACAGAAAAAATAATTGGTACGGTTCTGGAGATTAACAAATATCCGTACCGAGAACCGAATCGAACCGTCCCGTACCGTACCGAACCGAAGAACTGAAATAAGAACCGAATTATAAAAATAGATGCGTTTTATTAATATATTTTATGTCAATTTTGATCCTATATAATTTGAGAATTTTTATTGCAAATAAAATATAGTAATAACAATTAAGATTCACTTAAATTTCATGTCTAGTAATACTTTATCTACAATTGAATTTCTTCTGCTTAAAAAAAATAAAATGGAATGAAAGGTTAAAGATTTTAAAAAAAAAAAAATTAAGATTTACGTAAAGTTGTCAATACTTCCTTAGTCTATCATATAACTAACATGGTATGGAAGATTAAATAAATATTACTTTAATATAAAACTGTATTATATTTTGTTTGAATTTTAGATTTTCAATGTTAGTTGAATTTAGTCTTAAATAAAATTTAGAGTTACTTCTAAAGTTGATTTAAAACTACAATCTTTAGTATGATGAAGTATTGATGAATGTTGGATTTAGAGAAAAACACATAAAAATCAAAATATAACTAGGTGGTCATTCAATTTTTTTTTAATGATAAGAAATTTCCGAATATCCGAACTGAACCAAACCGAACGGAACTGTTTAGATAGTCCCGAAAACCAAACCGAACCGAACAGAAAAATAAAAATCTCCGAACCGAACCGAACCGATTTATTGGTACGGTTATGGAGATCGAATTTTAGTAATCTCCGAACTTAAATCTCCAGAACCGTACCGACCCATGCTCACTCCTACTTATAACTACCATTTGGCTAGTTATTTGGTACGCTTCGAGAATTTTCAAAATATAGCATACTGCTGAATTTATATTCTATCACTATATTCTATGTGTTAGGTCTTTGTCTATTTGTTTTTTATTAGCCGTTCTGATTGGCTTAAATATTTTGCTATGAAATAGAATAAAATTTGTTAATAATTATTTATCAAAATAATAATAATACATTATAACTCATAATTACATGTGAAGCAGAATAGCAAAATTGTAATATACAAGGAATCATGAGACATATTCCTTACCTTTCTAAAAACATATACACCACTCAACCTAAGTTAAACGGGCTAGCCCTAACGGTTTTCGGGCTAGATCTAATGGGCTTCGGGTTAAACGGTGCAGACCAAAAAACCCGGATTTAAACGGGCTGCCAATAAAAGGCCCTAACCCTGTTTTTTTTCGGGCTAAACGGGCCGGCCCGTCAGGCCAAGGACCATTTAACATCTCTACTACTTAGAGTCATAAGATGCAGTCCTTCCTTCTCTGCACACAATTGGATGATTTCTCATAGTTTTGCGAGCTTGTTGTCAACATGGAGATCCACGTGTGCATGAAGCGTTGCATTATTCCCCCTCAATACTGCACATGGCTTAGAAACCAATCTCAGTTTGTTTTGTTTGAACTTAGGTGTATGGATTTATTATATTATAAGTTAAGATGATTTTATTTTTTAGATAGTGAAAATAAATAAATAAAATAAGGTATCTAATCTTAATTTCTAGGCCTCACTTCATCGTTGGTCGGACGCATAATGACTTCTAGAACACTACAAAAGAGAGGAGCCCAAGATAGGCCCATCCATGCCGCTGTCAAAGCCAAACAGTCTCGGTCAAGCTCTCATAGGCACAAAATGGGTGGCGGTGCCGACAAACAACAAGGCTGGAGTGCTGAATGTGGAGGCAGGGAGGGATGCACAAATTTTTATTTTTTTTTCCCAAGTCCCTCTGAAACCGAGCATCATCCGAGCTTTTAAATTAGAGGCTTATCGAGAATGATCGATTCAGTGAATGATTGAGGGTGAGCATGCAATAGATACATATATACATACAAGGGAAGAGAGATAAAAAGTTCAATTCACCAACCTATCCATGATATATAATTTATTTTTCAGTTCAATAAAATTAATATTGCACAAATTTTTTACAAAGTTTGGCAATTCAACATCTCACATCTTTTGAAATGAATATTATGCATAATCATTATTTCAATAACTATATATCAAGTCAATCTCACACAAATCCTGTCCAAAATCCCTAATTCCTCTCTCTTCGGATTAAAAACCCCCAATTCTTCCGCCGAACACTCGTCTTCTTCTTCTTCTTCTTCTTCTTCTTCTTCTTCTTCTCTTCAGCCTGCCTCTTTTCAGCCGGCGCTCCAATAGCTCGCGGAGATGGTGTGGGGTAGGGGTTGGTGTGGGCCTCCCGGGTGCGGCTTCGAGTTGGTCCTCGGCTCGTTTGGTGTGGATCTATGTTAGCCTGTCATCTTTGGGTGAAGAGAGTGGATAGATTGCATCTCGAGCTTTGGCATGTCTTGGAGGTGTCGTCGTCGGCTCTCGTCCTGTGCGGTGTTATGTTGGGGCGGCCGGTTGTTGGGAGGGCTTGTTTGGTTCTGTTTTGATTTTGTTCTTGTGTGTTTTTGTTGTTTTAGGTTTCGTGGGTTTCGTTTTGTTTCTGGTATTTGTTTTGTGGTTGTTTGTGTTGATTATCCTTTTGGGAGATGTGTTGATTCTTCCTTTGGGAGCTTTGTGTATGTTTTTATCCCTTTGAATTTTTTTTATTCTCGTGAGTACGTTGTGGTGTCTAGGCTGCCCTATGGGTTGTTCTTTCACTACATTCAACTGAGTGTCTGCTTGGCTTTTATGGATGTTGTCTAGATGTAGTTATGTATTTTCTTTTTATAAAATTTCTATAGTTCCGTCAAGAAAATAATTATATATCAAAATAAATTCTATCATCACAACTCTCACTTCAT